CTATCTATCTATCTATCTATCTATCTATCTATCTATCTATCTATCTAAAAGAATTTCCCAGTCCAAATGACAGATCTAGAATCCCTAGGATCTGTCCTTTCGACCCCAGATCTCCACCTGGATCTGCCAGGCCACATATGCCATACTGACCCAAAGCTGATCCACTTTAGCTCCTGAGATCAACCAAGGTCATGTAGACGCTGCATCTCTAATTAAACTGCAATATATGTACATCAAATGGAATGTAATTGCTCTTCTAGTTCCACCCAATTCTCTCTCTGGTTTCTAGCCTGGGCATGAGATTTGAAGACTCAAGTCTTGCCTCTTGCGAACTCAAGGGTGGATCCCAATGTTTAGCCTCCCGATAGGGTTCCAAGCAATCCTTGGGATCGTACAGGGAGGTAGAGACCGAACAGCTTCAAAAGGAGGGCTGTCCTTGGTTGTCCCTTGTATTGCACATTGAGCTGGTTGAGCCTAAAAAGAGTTGCAAGGAGTTGCAAAACTAAGCATTGCACCGAGGCCAATTTAATAGCAATAGTACTTAGACTTATTGTTCTGACGTAGGCTTCCCCAACAGCACAAGGCCGACTCCTCGTCCTGATAAAACCCCTTTTATTTAGTTGAATTCCTTTCCAGCAAAGCCGTGGCCAACAGTCTTTCAAGATATTTCCCAATCACGGATCTTTATCAGACTTGGAGAGTTGCCAGGCTGATATCTTTCAGATGCCACACTGTAGCAGACAATGCTTGGCAAGAATGCAGAAACAGGTCTTCACCCAAATGAACTAATTGTCAACTGCAAAACTCCACTCCCCTTTCACTCCTCTTTTATTCCCTATGGGAGGGGCCATTCACCCTGTGGTTTTATTCCCAAGTCGACCCTTGTTCCTTAACTGTTCCCTTCATCTGGCAGCTCTGTGCATGCGCACACTGGGAACAGGCTCCAGCTGTCCTTCTGCCACACTGATGTCTGACTCTGAAGGTGGCTGTTAACTGTCAGACGGCCCTGGCTCCATCTCTGCCTCCGATGCAGAGCATTCGTCAGAGCCTTCTCCAGGCTCCAGGACTGGCCCATGTTCCTCCCCAACCTCCTTACTGTCTGAATCTACTCCCAGCTCCACTGGCGGGCCACAACACTTATATACCACTATACAGTGTTTTACAGCTCTCTCTAAGCGGTTTACAGAGTCAGCCTTTACAGAGTCCAACCTCAGAAAGATGGAAGGCTGAGTCAACCTTGAGCCTGGTAAGATTCGAACTGCCAAATTGTAGGCAGCCGGCTGTCAGCAGAACTAGTCTGCAGTACTGCATTCTAGCCACTGCGCCACCACGGTGGAAAGAGGCAAGTGGGATTATCTACTACGCTGAAGGAAGGTGCAGCATAGATAATCCTACTCACCTCCTTTCACCTTAAACTGTCCACAGTGCACTGCTTGCCTTTGTTCTGGCAACCCACTCGTTGGCTGTCGCAACACACTCCATCGTCAGTCCCGAAGTTGTGTTGCTGACAGAGTTGATCCAACTGGGAAGGCGGTTCTTACCGTCTCCTTCAACTCCAGTACAGGGAATTTTATTTCAATGCTGGGAATTATGTTCATTCTCAGCCCGTAGTGAGTCCCAAACAGTCCCTTTGAGATAAGCACCCACCTCTCTTTCCTTTGAATTGCTGCCAACAATAAAAGTGCCAAAAAACCAACTGAACTGCAAAGTCCACACAGAGCTTCAAGGTTTAATCTGAACAGAACAAACAACTTTGCTTCCTGCAAAGGTTTCTCTACCTTTGCACTTCCTTTATATCTTATGGGAGGGGCAATCACCTCCAAGCCTTATTCCCGAGTCTCCCTTTTTGTCTCAGCTGCTCTTGCCTTCTAGTAGCTCTGTGCACACGCACACTGGGAACAGGCTCCCTTTGTTCCTCTGCCTCACTGCTGCCAGACTCCGGAGGCTCCGAAGTCAGCACCCCACTCCCAGATGGTCCTGGCCCCATCTCTGCATCGGATGCAGGACCCTCATCTGAGTTGTCTTCAGACTCCTGGACTGGTCACCATTCTTCTCCACTGTCTGTTTCCGCTTCCGTCTTCACCAGCTGCGGGAGAACCACAACAACAAAGGTGTTCATCCCAAATTGTATAGCTAAAAGTCAGTAGAGATTCTCAGTCATCCAGGACTGAGCACCTGGATGACTGAGAATCTCTACAGAATTCAGTGTGAGCAAGTTGGTGAGGGGGACTCCATATATGTCCCCAGGGTGTTTAATTTCTCACCTAACTTAGATGGGTTGATTAAGATACCCCTGCGCTACATAAAACACAAGGACAAAGCATGAAGGGAAGGTGCTGATTTATCTGCAGAAACTGGTATGCTAGTTGTAGGTTGCTTTAAGTGGAGGAAGAAGAAGTAAAAAAGGTTAGAGTATTTTTACAATAATCAGTGTGCGGCAGCAGCCAAAAAAGCTAACACAATCCTTGATTGTATAAACGGAGGCATACAATCACGTGAAGTATCGCTTTATAAAGCCTTAGTGAGGCCACACCTTACTAAGCCTTACTTACACATCTTACTAAAACTGCATCCAGTTTTTGTCACCACATTCCAAAAAAGATGTTGAGACTTTGGAAAAAGTGAAAAGAAGAGTAGCTAAGATGATTAAAGGCCTGGAGGCTAAAACATATGAAGAACGGTTGCAGGATTTGGGTTTGGCTAATCTAGAGACAAGAAGGACTAGGGTGGGACATGATAGCAGTATTCCAGTATTTGAGGGGCTGCCACAAAGAGGAGGGGGTCAATTTATTTTCCAAAGCACCTCAAGGCAGGACAAGAAACAATGGTTGGAAACTAACCAAGGAGAGAAGCAACCTGAAATCAAGGAGAAATTTCCTAATAGTGAGAACAATTAATCAGTGGAACAGCTGGCCTTCAGATGTTGTGGGTGCTTCATCACTGGAGGTTTTTAAGAAGCGACTGGACAGCCATTTGTCTGAAATAGTATAGGGTCTCCTGCTTGAACAGATGGGGCTGGACTAGAAGACCTCCAAGGTCCCTTCCAGCTCTATTCTGATTGATTTTTAAAAAAAATAATGGTAGAGCAACTGCAAATGTCATCAAAACCATCCCTTTGTTAAACGAAAAGCATCCATATTTACATTAGCAATTAGAGAGCAAGAAGATAAAGAATATTATAAAATTTGGGACTTACTTTATCAATGGCTAGATAAGAAAATAGGGAAATAAATTACATGATAATATAAGTATAACATGATAGTAAAAATAAGACAATGTAATGATGTAAACATGTTATAATTGACTGCAATGAAATGAATGATATTATGAACCAGGTTTTGTAAAAGTTGAGATTTGCTCGAAAAGGATGATGTGAATTTATAATTATAGTCTAATAAGGAGTTAACAATAATATAATATACATAGTTGATCTATATAATATGAACTTGAATTTAAACTTAGTAGGGAAAGACTTGATATTGTGCACAAAAGATATGTACCAACTGACACACTGAACAATGGAAAGATGGTTTTATTTGATGTTTTATGTTAGCATTTGTCAATGTTTGTTGTCAAAATAAATAAAAAACTTTAAAAAGAAAAGAAAAGAAAGAAAAGCATCCATATTTGTTCAGCTACCCATTTTCTTCCTTCTTTATTAAAATGATGTTCTTCTTTCATTTTAAAACCAAAATCATAAAACCATCCACCTGCTGTCATTCTGGTTTCTCTGCTTCGTTTCAGAAATACCTCTGAAAGGGATGACCCAGCAGATCACGGCTTGTCTAGTTATCTCCTCAAACAAACCAATCAAAAGGAAGAATTCTGAATCCAAATGAGCCAAGGATGCTAATCAGGTCTTGTTCAAGATTGTACATTATGCCGTCAGAAGCAAATTCTGTCCCTGGTTTGCAATCAGTTTGTAATCAGGCCTACAATTTGTCAGGCTCCTTTAAGGAGAAGGGCATGAAAACCTGCTAGGAAAGAGGCTCAGCGTTTGGTATTAACTCTTTTCAGGCCAACTAGCTCCAAGTTTTCTGCAAAAGCGACACTTGTGTCACTGTGCGACTTGTCTGACTTTGTACGGGTGATTTGCAACCCATTGTGGCAACTTAGCAAACCACACTTTGAACGTACCTGACTTAGTTTGATGGGGCCGGGCTCGCAAACTTCTCAGAAACATTTTGCATAAATTCGCACGCAGAGCCAGTTTGGTGTAGGGGGTGAAGGCGCCAGGCTAGAAACCAGGAGACTGTGAGTTCTAGTCCTGCCTTCGACCTGAAAGCCAATAGGATGACTTTGGGCCAATCGCCAGGAGATACTGCATTCTAATCAGGGGGTGGGATTCAATTTTTTAAACAACCGGTTCTGTGGGCATGGCTAGGTAGGCGTGGCTAAGTGGGCATGGCCATGTGACTGGGTGGCTGTGGCTTCTTCTTTTTTTGCAGCAACCCCCCCCCCCCATTTTTTTGACCTTCTGTGCCTCAGGGGAGCCTCCTGGGTGAAGCTCTAAGACAGCGAGGGGGATCCCAACACAGCTGATCATCAGAACAGCTGATTAGCGGGAGGGGAAAAAAAGAAATACCTTAAGGAGTGACTGAGCAGGGAAGAATGCAGTCAATGATGTGAGGCATGCATGCAATGTCACGCATGTGCAATAAGAATGGACTGGGCAGGGAGGGGCTGGCAGAAAGGGGCAGGGCCAGCCAGGGGCATGATTTGCCGGTTCTCCGAACTGTGCAGAATCATAACAACCGGGTCTATAGAACCAGTCTGAACCGGTAGAATCCCACCCCTGGTTCTAATCCCACCTTAGAGGTGAAGGTTAGCTGGGTGACTTTGGCCAAGTACCAGGAGACTGTGAGTTCTAGTTCTGCCTTAGGCCTGAAAGCTGCCTGGGTGACTTTGGGCTAGTCACTCTTACTTGAGCCCAATTCACCCCACAGTTGTTGTTGTGGGGAAAATAGGAGAGAAGAATACTGTCGTAGTTCCCCCATCTTGAGTTATTCATAAAAATAGAAAAGGTGGAATATAGATAAATAAAACACAATCCAATCTATCATCTCTCTGTCTCTCAAATTCCATCCTGGTCATTTGAACCCAGAGCTCAAGCCTCTCTAGAATTTTTTTTTGAAAATCTTTCCTTTAAAGTATTAGCCACAATTCAGCATTGTGCCATCTGCAAACTGGTAAGCACCCTGGTTAAAAAAAAATATAAAACAGCAGAGAGACCAGAAAGACTTCACACCATGCATTCCTCCACAATGAAGTGGAGCCATGAATATATATATATATATTTTGTGGGAGGGAGGTTGCACTACTTCAATCATTAGATTAGATTAACAGAGTTGGAAGACTAGCCAGGCCCTGTTCCTGCAACCGTTCCTCGTATGTTTCAGCCTCCAGTCCCCTAATCATCCTGGTTGCTCTTCTCTGCACTCTTTCTAGAGTCTCAACATCTTTTTTATAGTGTGGTGACCAAAACTGGATACACTACTCTAACTGTGGCCTTACTAAGGCTTTATAGAGTGGTATTAGTACCTCCCTTGATCTTCATTGAATCCTTCTGTCAACTACAGTCTTATTTCAATTAGGATCAACTTACCCATATTTTACCACTCTATAAAGGAGAAGTTCATGAGCCACTTCTTCAAAGACAGGCTCAAAGTCAAGGTATATTACATCCTTGGCGTTCCCTCGATCTACTAAACTAGCAACTTTATCAAAGGAGATAAGATTCATCTGGTGGGATTTATTTCAAACAAATCTTGCTTGCTGGTCCCTGTTGATTATAGCCTACCTATCCATGCAATTACAAACACTCTGCTTGATAATCTGTTTTGAAGACTTTGATACCTGTTTAACTGGAAAGGTAAAGTAGGCACGCCCTTTTAAGCATTTGTCAAACCACCTGGCATCCTTAATAAGACGAATCCTTTTGAACATTTTCATCAATTTTAATGTAAGGCCAAAAAAGCCACCCAGTTGCCACAACCAATGAGATGGGCAGCAAATAAATTTGATAAATAAATAAATATTTGTAAAAATGTAAGATATATAACCATGTGTATCATGTGTGTCATATGTTGTCCACACCCAAGTAATTATTATCCAATTCCTTGGTGCAAGTATCTTAACTTTGTTAGAGTATATTCATGAACTGGAATAGAACTTGGTAACAAGGCCAGACAATGAATAGGAATAGCAACTATGTCAGCCAATGAGGACTGAAACTAGAATTAGCCTAGTTTGGAAACTGAAACTAAAAGTAGCTGTCATGCCCCTGGTGGAGACTGTTCCACACTTACAACCACTGTAACATCTCCATGGTGACCTGATCAAAATTCCAGGCATTTGGCAACGGATTCACATTTATGATGGTTGCAGTGTCCCAGGGGTCACCTTCTAACCAGAAAAGTCAACGGGGAAACCAGATTCACTTAACAACCATGTTACTCATTGAACAACTGCAGTGTTTCACTTAATAACTGCGGAAGAAAAGATCGCAAGATGGGGGCAAAACTCCATTAACCGTTGTCTTGCTTAGCAATAGAAATTTTGGCTCAATTTTGTCTTTAAGGCGAGGACTACCAATATTCATAAGAAGTGATTTTAAAAGAAAATAAAGTTTGCAGATTGTTTAAGACTTTCTACGGATAATCTGTGTTTAAAGGATGTTAATGAAGGACTGGCAGATGTGAAACAAATCTTGCTTGCTGCAAAAATAATGGAATCAGAAATATTGGATTTTCTTTTTCTTTCTTTCTTTTTTAAAAAAGCACGAATTAGAAGACAGAGAAGGTATTTAAAGTGGAAATCCAAGGCTAAGAGAATAACCCACAGAAGGGCTCTTTACCACATACACTGTACAAAAGAAACTGGCTGAAGATTTAAAAATTAAAAGGGAACTGCAGATGTTAAACCGAGAGAATGATGAGGACAATGTCTTTTCACTGGAAAAGAAAAGAAATTGTTAAAGCCACTTGGAAAAAAAAAAAAGACAAAAGAGCTCACTAAAAGCCTGGAAGAAGTCTGTGTGATGGAATAAAAAAAAGAAAGAAACAGAATGTAAGGGGAATCAAATCCTATGACAATAACTGAATTAACTGAAGATGTTAAGGTTTTCAGAGCTAAAAGGAAGGAATATAAAGTTCGCGTATTTGAGCAAGGTTAAAATAAGGCATGTTTCTATGGAACCCTGGCAATCTTTTATGGACTTTTCTGCTGAGATCAGGATTGGAAAAAAAAAGATGACTTAAGAGGATTTGCTTTAAAATAAAGGAAGAAAGGAGGGGAGAAAAGAGATATGTAAACTTACAGGAGGAAAAATCGCTACCAAACTGGATTACACTTCTTGTGATGAAGAATGGGAAGTCACTTCTTTATGCATTTGTTTTTTCCTTCCTTCCTTCCTTCCTTCCTTCCTTCCTTCCTTCCTTCCTTCCTTCCTTCCTTCCTTCCTTCCTTCCTTCCTTCCTTCCCTTCCCTTCCCTTCCCTTCCCTTCCCTTCCCTTCCCCCTCCCTTCCCTTTCCCCTCCCTTCCATCCACCCATCTTTCTTTCTTTCTTTCTTTCTTTCTTTCTTTCTTTCTTTCTTCCTCCCTCCCTCCCTCCCTCCCTCCCTCCCTCCCTTCCTTCTGTTGGAAGGATCAGGGATCCTTCCTTCCTTCCTTTCTTCTGCTAGAAGGGTTGGGAGTCCTTCCTTCCTTCCTTCCTTCATTCCTTCCTTCCTCCTTTCTATCCACCCATGTGTCTTCCTTCCTTCCTTCTGTTAGAAGGATTGGGAGTCCTTCCTTCCTTCTTTCCTTCCTTCCTTCCTTCCTTCCCTTTCCCCTCCCTTCCATCCATCTTCCTTCCTTCCTTCCTTCCTTCCTTCCTTCCTTCCTTCCTTCCTTCCTTCCTTCCTTCCTTCCTTCCTTTGTGCCTACTTTATAACAGGTTTTTATTACTGTAATTAAAATCCTCATTTTGTTAAGAGGAAGTAACCAGATTTTCCTGCATTTTGTTCCCAGTGGTATACTATATCCTTCTCTTTCCATATACATTGAGATGAAACTTAGTAAACAGGCGTTCAAGAATCCAGCAACGTCTTTAATTTATTGGGGAGCAATCCCACCAACCGGCATGCATTACATCTGAGCTCTGTTCAGAATAACTGGTTTTCCAATTTCTTTGTCTGTCTTTCTCCTACCTTTTCAGATAGATGTACATTTTTCTTCTCACTTTGGTAATGGCCTCATGTAGGTGACCGGGTGACAACTAATTTTCATAGTTGGGTTCAAAAAAGAATGACTAGCCCCAAACCACCCCAAATCGGCTTTGTGGATGTATTGGGATTTTGTCAAAGGATATAGCAAAAGGATTAATTAGTCAAAGTTTAGCATATGTTCTCTATAGGAGCTAGTAATATCCTGCCCATGAGATCACTATATCCAGAAATGCCTCCTTTGGCATCCAAATAGGTCTCTTATTTAATGTATATACTCATATATTTATTTACTAGCTGGATACCTGTGCTTCACTATGAAACTATGTGATCGGGCTTAGTTTTTGCGGAGGAAAATAAGGGGTGGGGAATTCTGCCTCTGCCTACCAGCACCCATCGGTATTCATCTGGCTAGTGTCCTGTCAGTGTGTGAGAGAGTTGAGGGCTGTTTGGAAACTGAAACAGTATTTGCTATATGAGCAAGGAGACAGCAAGGAGCCTGGGTGTGGCTTAGCTCAACTGTTCTGTACTAAAGCTGCTTGGTTCTGTGAAACTAAAACTGAAACTCAACTCCTTTGCTTGTGTTTTGCATTTGGAACAGATTTCTTTTCAGGTGGGGAGGGGGAGTAGAACGCCTTAGCATCAGAGTGTGTTAATAATAATAATATAGGAAATATTAAATGCTCTGACGGTCATTTTGAAAAATCCTTTCTTAGTGAGCACCTAGAAGGCAAGAGAAACATACGTGCCAAATTTCAAGGTTGTAGGCTTTACGGTTCTATATATATAAATTTATTGTGATGACCCAGGGTGGGATACAAAATAAACACAGTCACAAAAAAAAGGTGAAGTCCCTTTTATTCCTTCACTTTGCTTCCAAACTCCAAATATCCTTGACTGGAGACAAAAAAACTCCCACACAAGCAGTTACAAAAAGGAGGAAATGCCGTTTAAATTATAAAGAGTAAAGAACAACACAAACCAGGCAAGATAAGGGCTGGAGGACGTCCACAGATAACAGAACACACAGTGGGAAGGACGCCAAACTCAGAGAGGAACCATAAACTAGAGATATTTCCATGCTTTGTTTCCAGCACTCACCCATACGCATGTCTCTCCTCTTATCCAGTTGTCACAGCTGCAGCCCATGAAGAGGATCAAGGCCCTCTCCTCCCCAGTATACAAAGTCTCTCCCTTATCCTCTCCTCCCTGCGTGCCCTAGGATGGATAGGGGATGGGCCTGGGTCCTCCTCTGCCTGCTCAGCCAGCCTCTGCCCTTCCCCAGCCTCCTCCACAACCTCCGGAGCCACACTTCCACTCCCTGTCGGCTGTTCCTCATCTCACTCAGAGTCAGTCTCCACCAGGGGCATGACATTTATAAAATAAATAACAGATAATTTTTATGTTGTATAAATAAATAAATATTTTTTTTATAACAGGTAATCTTCAGCTTACAACCATTAGCCATTCGAAGTTACAAAACTGCTGGGAAAAATGGATTTATGACCAATCCTCCCAGTTATGACCATGGTCACATCATCAAAATTTGAGTGCTTGGCAACTAGCATGTATTTATGATCGTTGCAGTGTCCTGGGGTCATGTTGATCATCATTTATAATCTTCCCAGCAAGCAAAATTATGGAGGAAAGCCAGATTCACTTAATGGCCACGTGATTCATTTAACAACCATGGCAAAAATGATGGTAAAATTAGGAAGAGGCTCACTTATCAATCACTTTGTTTGGCAGTGGAAATTCTGGTCTCAATAAATTGAGAATTACCTGTACATAGTATTCATTAACACAGGTACTCATTAACTTTCACTATTCCTGGTTTAAATAATATGTTATTATTGACAATAATTACAGTTGTTATCTATTTAACGTCTTGTGTATTATTTCCAAGTTTTAAAGGCATTTTTTAAAAAAAACAGCTATTTTGAGGCTTCAATCTTTCTGCATTTACAGAAATGTAAAAAACTTGGCCCTTTCATCAAGCTTTTAATGGGCGATTAAAATAAAGATTAATTTTAATTTATGTTTTTCACTTTTAAGGAATCATATTTTTTTTTCTTATCCCTGTGATTTTGTAGCAACCTCAAGTACTTGCCTAAGCAGGATGATACAATATTAATTGAAACGAATGAATAAGCAGCCTAATGCACTGTTGAAATGAAAGCATAATAATATTGTTTGGAACCTAACCGCATTAAATAAATCAACAAATCAATCATCTTTACAATTTGCACCACTTTATAGCGATGTGGCTTTGTCATAATTAAACACTTCCAGCCCTTCCCAATATTAAACACTTAAGAAAAAGGAAGGAAATAATTCCGTAGATAATCACAAATAAGCATGCGAACAACGAACGTTGCGTGCTGAATTTGCTTTGTCAAAAAAGAGTGTATTTTCCTTTATTTCCTCAAATGGCAGCTCAGAAGATTTGGACTTCACCAGTTATGATCTGGGTGGGTTCCACGAAGACAAAATCCTGGGAAAGGAATCAGGAAGGACTCAAGGTGGACATGACAGCAGTCTTCCAATATCTATGGGGCTGACACAAAAAGGAAAGAAGTCAACCTACTCTCCAAAGCACTTGAAGGCAAGGCAAGAAGCAGTGGATGGAAGATCATTAAGGAAAAATCCAACCTAGAACTAAGGAGCAATTCCTAGATAATAATTGTCAGGGATGGTTGCAGGAATTGGGTATGGCCCAGTCTAGAGAAAAGAAGGATGGCGGGGACATGATAGCAGGATTCCAGTATTTGAGGGGTTTCCACAAGGAAGAGGGGGGTCAACTTATTCTCCAAAGCACCAGAGGCAGGATAAGAAACAATGGAAACTAATCAAGGAGAGAGGCAACCTGGAATTAAGGAGAAATTTCCCAACAGTGATGACAATTAACCAGTGGAACGGCTTGCCTCCAGAAATCGTAGGCACTCCATCACTATCTATCTATCTATCTATCTATCTATCTATCTATCTATCTATCTATCTATCTATCCATCCATCCATCCATCCATCCATCCATCCATCCATCCATCCATCCATCCATCTATCTATCTATCTATCTATCTATCTATCTATCTATCTATCTATC